AACCCCCCCCCCCCACTGGCCCCCCTTCACCTCCCACCGGCCCCGGACCTCCACCCCCGCCGTCCCCGCATATACATACATGCTAGACACGCCCTCTAACCCACACCGCTGACCCCCCTATTACCTGCGACAGCAGCTTGCTGGCGTACTGCGGGTTCTCCGCCAGTACGTCTGCTGCCAGGTCGTAAAAGCCGTGTGTAGGTTTGCAGTACAGCAGTAGGAGGTTGGCGAAGGTCTCCGGGGGGAAGGGCGGCGACTGGAGCAAGAAGTTGAGCTTTTTGAACCCGCCGGTGGGGTCGGTGTCCATGTTGATGAGGGCGCTGTTGTGGAGAGTCACCTGAGGCCAGAGGGGTCAGGGGATGAATAACCAAAAACCCGACAAACAGACGCGAAGGAGGAACGAAACCCCAGACCAAGGAAAACCGCGGACTGCTGAGCAACGGCAAGATAGGGATGGCCTCGCGGGATGGGCAGTGTGGTGCCCACAATCCACCCAACGCAAGACATTTCCCGCGGCTGAGTTCCCTTCCATCGACCCCAACCGCCCCAACCATCCTCCTGTTCACCGGGTGTTTATCACTCCATCCTCTGACTTAACCCCCTGACCCCACACACCGGGTCCAGCTCCTCCTCTGCCCTGGGTGGCATGTCGGTGAGTGCCTCCTTGGCGGCATCCACGTTCTTCATGGTGTACTCGATGGCGGCCTTCAGGTTGAAGGCCTCAATAAGGGCAGTCTCCTTCAGCGTCTGGCTGTTGCCCACACTGCGAACCTCCATGCCGTCCGTATTGCTGCGGAGGAGTTGGGAGGAGGAGAATCGGCGGGTTAGGATGGCGCGTGGGTGGACAGCGTGGGGTTCGTGTGGCCGTGAGGTGTGTCAGGCGGGGTGGAAAGCAGCAGTAACATCTAGAAACCGATCCAAACACGGCAGTGTGGGAAACGGTGTGTGGATCCGCGGCCGCCTTGCCTAGCTTTCCGGACACCCCACTAGCACACACACGCACACACGGACACCTCAACACACATACATACATACATACAACCCCCTACGGGGCCCTACAAGCGCACCTGCCCACGCTCAGCTCCGGATGCTCCCGCACCGCCTTCTCAATGATCTCCGCCAGGTGCTTCAGTGCGGGGCCAAACTGCTTAGTCTTGTAGTGGCACAGAGCGATGTTGTACAGCAGCTCGGGCTGGTAGCCAAGAGCCTATGAAGGAGGTGTGGTGTGGTTGGGGGTGGGTGTTGATGTCGATGTGCCGCGGTGCAGCTACGTGCGCGTGTATTGAAGATTCGGGCGGGCGTGGGCGGAAACGCTAATTCCACCTTACGAGCAAAAAGGATCAGACACCCATTAGTAGTAGTAATAGTAGTAGTAGTAGCAGCATTGACAGCAGTAGTAACAGTAGAAGTAGTAATAGCACAGTACGAAAGAAGGCCATATGTGCGTGGGTGGTGCCCCGGTGTGCATGTCCCGTGTAGTAATGGCCGTAGTGTCGTATTTGAACCCGGCGGAGGTGGATCTGGAGCCCCGGCAGCAGGTGGGTGGGAGATGGCAGCAATGGTCGGTCCCCCAGATAGTGGGATGAATTGGAGAGAAGTGCTCCGTAATGCCCACTCGGCCGCCCAAATGCGTGTGCATCTCTGTGTGTGCGTCTGTGTGTTGCGCGACTGCGCCCCAGGATTGGGGCAGCAGGGGTCACCTAGCTGTTCGAGCAATCGACCAAGTCCCCCTCCCCCTCTCCATTGGCACCCACAGGCAACACCCACAACGCCTCTGCATGAGCACCTGCGTTCGGCCCTTGCCCAGCATCATATGCACTTTCCTACCTTCTCCTCTCCGCCATCATCACCCATGACTACAACACTTTCTTCCGGGCCTAACAACCCTCCAGACCATCCAACACCGCCACAATTACCTTCCAGTGGACCCAACCACCCATTCGCCACATCGCCCCCTCCCCAGGCCAGCCCACGAGTCCCCACACCCGCCTACCTGGGCTCCTCACATCCCGGGGACTTCACAGGATGGCTTGGCTGCTGCCCCGCCCTTCGCCCCGAAAGCCCTACCCGCACTTCCCTAACCCCGCGACCCCCCATGCCCCCCCCCACCTGCACCGCATCATTGAACTTCTGCCTGGCCGCCTCGTACTTGCCCTCCTTGAACATGATGCAGCCCGTGTTGACCATGGTGTCGGGGTCATCAGGGACACACTTGTCGAGCTGACGTCGGCAGCCAGTCAGGTCATCCTGAGCGAGGAGGGGGAGAGCGGCGGCGAAAGAGGGGAGTTTAGGAGGGAATGGGGCCGAAGGAGGAAAGCGGGGGTCACGGGGAAAAGCAGGGGACCGTTGACGCCCCGGTGCAAACAGAGGGCTTCAGAAGGGAATGCTAGGTCCGGCGCCACCTAGGTCGTAGGGGGTGCATATACTGAGCAGGACGCTATGGACACACCTTCCCACCGCAACAACCGTGACCATACATGCACACACAAACTCCCCACACAAGCACGCAACGACATCGCAACGCGTCTTGACAGTCGGTCTTCCCCTCCGACATCCCAGCAGTCACTATGACTCCCAGAGGGAGGACACCGGAACTGGGACATAGGCGGATCCAACACCGGCGGACAGTACCCTGTCGGCTGCCGGCCGAGTTGCGCATAGCGGGTCAGCGGGTCAGAGCCGGTGGGGTTCCCAGGGTGGCCAAACAGCCGGACACTGCTATACGGATTATAGGCCACTAGCTCACAGTGGCCAACCTCCAGGATGCAAGTGCCCACATGTCCCGACAGACATCACCCAACACTACCCACCATACCCTGCACCCTGCAGCGTTACCCTGGTGTCACAACCCTGGTGTCATAAGCCTCCGCAAGCGAGCTCAACCTCCCAGTTCGGCTGCCAAGCCTACATAGCTGACCCAGATGCGCATCATCCCCCTCTTTCCTCGCACAAAACCGCGAAACCTGTGCCTAGTGCCTGGCACTCAAAACCTGGTGCACATGAGTGACCTCTTCTCGCCTTAGTGGGCGTTAGGTTAAGCCGGGCCCGCCACACAGGGTTGATTCTACCGTCGGCAAAAGCAGCCAGCCCGTTCACATAGTGGAACGGGACAGGAAAGGCGACTACAAAATGTGGCAGTCCGTACCTACCTGCTCGTATGCACACGCCACGAGCAGCGTCGTGACCGCCTTCTGGTGGCCCTCCACTTTGACAGCTGCTTTGCTAGACTCCGTGTACATCCCTCCCTGGAGCCCATCAAGAGGCAAGTTTAGCAAGGACGGTGGGGAGGAAGGTGGGGGAAACGAGGGCGTGGTGATGTAGTGGTATCAGGTAGTTTAGAATCGGGGATTTGGTCCTGTGCTGTAGACGTTTGGCCCGCCTGGCATCGAAGACATATCAGTTGATCAGTATGTTTTTCAGGCATATGACCGGGAATATGACAAGTCGAGGTCAGAGGGGCAAGACGAGATAGTGGTAGCAAGATGGGGTTTTCAATGCAGTCCAGCTCAAGTAGGGTGGACTTGCAACCGAGTATCATGGTCCTGTGCTCTACGCGCACCAGCAAACCAGCTTTCAGCCACCGCCGAGGGCAAATGGACGGCAGCGAGCATAGCAGGGGGTTCGGCGGTGGAAGGGAAGGGTTGCGTGCGACACACCTTATACAAGCTTTGGGAGTAGTAGAGTTTGTAATCCTCATTGTTTGGATACAGCGTAACAAGCTGCTCGTACCTGGAGGCCAGGTTAGAAGGGGAGACATGCGTAAAGACGCGCCATCGCACAAGGGACAAGTTCCCCTTCGCACCGCAACTTACATCTGCGAGGCAAGATCATATTGACCTGTATAGTAGTAACAGTATCCCAAAAGCGACAACGCTGCTCTGCTCTCCGGGATGTTCTGAGCGTGGTGAAGTTGAGAAGCATGTCAGGATGAACGCGCCACTTAACAGAACATCCATGCCATAGACAAATATATATAGCTCCTGAACACCCCTTGCCTGTAACTGGTATTGCAAATGGGATATCGCCTCGGTGAACTTTTGGTCCTTTATAAGGGTGTAAATTACTTGCGTATATTGGCCGTCCGCAATGGGCCGCTGAGGCTGCTGAAAATAAGCCATTGCAGCACTCAGGGCCGGCCCTTCAGCACAACCTTAATTAATTTTATGTCGCCAGAGGTCCAAGATGTAACTGTAATAGCCCTTGCTTACAACGCTTCAGCAAATAGTAATTTATCTAGGTCAAATTATAGAGACGTTACAGGGTCTTCTGCGAAATGTCACAGCGAAGAATTCAGACTTGGTACGGCAGTCAAGGATGCAGTCTCGAAAATAATTGTGGCAGAGATTATCCCCTGTCCATGGAATAACAGTCATCATGATCGTGCGCACCTTGAGGGAAATCCGTTGTGGGCCACAAACGTTCCTGACCAGTACGGTCAGTACAAGTCACGAACGCCAACTGCCAAAAGACAAAAACCGCCAAATGCCTTGCCACTTCAACCCTTCTTAATACTCACGTGACGACCTTTAGTTAGAGCTTCCATCATGGTTTACACCTCTCGCGCCTGGTAGAGGGAAACACGTGTTGGCGTTTCGGTTACAAGTACCGCGACCTTGTACGGCCCAGACGAGCCAAGAGGCACATGAGCACATTAGATTCGTGCAATCCTCGGTATGTCTGGTATGTTGGGAACTAACCCCCTGTGGACTCGGGTTCACTTTATAATATACTTCGTCTATAGCATGGATGGTCTGTTGTTCTGTTGTTGTTACAGGGTGGTTAAGCTTCACCAGTGGCCTCCTTCCCGAGGCAATTCCCTGCTCTCCCCTGCTAGAGAGGCACCCTAATCCATTCACCCCATCCGACTTCAGAGTGTACTCTTTGGGTTCGGCAACTCACCACCAGCATCCAACCAAATCTAGCGGATCAACGGCGCCTCAACTTAGTTCCTGGTCAGCTCGCAAGTTGATCTTATCACGTCCTACACCGTCCACAAGATGGGGGGCCACCTCCCATTTCATCTCCCCTCAACACCCGAGAGGTCGGCAGGCGGATTTGAACCCGGACACTCCGGGAGCAGAAGTCAGGCCTTAACATCTGCCAGCCACCTGCCTGGATGGTCTGTTAAGTGGCCCGTTCATCCTGACATGCTTCTCAACTTCACCACGCTCAGAACATCCCGGAGAGCGGAGCAGCGTTGTCACTTTTGGGATACTGTTACCGGGGCGTTGTCGAGCTGCTGGCTGCCCCGAAACCGCGTGACCAACCGATGCAGCATGGCACCCTACGACTTGGAGACCAAGACACCCTGCGCCGCGCCCGGCTTGCTGCCCTCCTTGGGCTTGGCCGCCTCCTCGGCAGCCACTTCGCTCTCCGTTCGAATCTGCACGGCAACAGGACGAGCATTGTTGCAACCAGAAAACTCCCAGGCGAAAATAATTACTTTTTGTATCTACCTGGCAAGAGGGATGCTGGGAAGGGGAGAAAGAAAGGAGGACACAACGGGTTTGCGTGTGGCGCGGAATGAAGCAACTTTCCTTTGTTTGTCCCATGCAAGATCATACACCACACATCCGACAGGTTCCACTGGCCTGTCTTTGCGCCAAGGGATGGTCACAAATACAGCCGCGGAAGCCATTTTGCCACCGACCCGATATCCAAGGAAAACGCCGTTTTTGGCTTGAGAACCTGCACTACATGGCCTGCCCACGACACGCTTGGCGTGGTAATCAAGCTGAAAGCGCTTCTCTTCGTGGTAACACTAGTCCTCTCATCCCGTGCTCTTACACACGTGAACCCAATCTTTGGCTACAACGCTTCCAGCTCCAAGACCAAGGCTTGACATTGATAGCTCGGGCCCGGTATAGGCGATAGCGCGATGATGAGCACATACATATGTACATCTTTGCACCCCATGTACTTAAAGACGCAAACGTTGCACTAGCCAGGGAGGTAGTCAGGCAGGTTACGGCCCCGGCCACCACACAGCGGCGCTTTCCCCGCTGTACCCGAATTTTGTGCTTGGTCTGAAACTCGTTCAGGTCCTTTTTCTGTGCGTCGAGCTGCTGCTTCAATGTGTTTATTGTGGCCTCCAGGTTCTCCTTGTTCTTTGCCACGGCAGGCATGGTCTCCTTAACCGTGCGCTCCACTAGCATGTCGCCCACCAGCCTGAAGCATTTCCTGTCCTTGTCCACCTTCTCCAGCGCCTCCAACACGAGCTTATGCTGTAGCGGTTGCGATGTATGGCGCATAGGTGGAAGGGGGGAAGGGCTCAGTATGTCCCTAAGTCTTTGGCAGTGTCTTGAGGGTCCAAAGTAGGGGCGCACCTCCGTCACCTCCGCCGCCAGCTCCGTTATTTTTCCCCATGTGATTTGGATCCGCTCCCGTTTGTTTTGGAACTCTGACAAGAGTTCCTGCTCTCTAGGTCCGGCGCTCATGGGTCGGCCTTTTCGTTTCAAGCCCTGGACTCTCTGCAAGCTAGAGGTAGTTCAGATGAAAGGTCTTCTAGTGTGCTGCAGCCAAGGATGGCCTCCGCTGCGGGTTCCGGCAGGTAAAGCGCCAAAGGGACAACTTGTCGAATCCTAAAGCCTGATTGAGGTATGATGCTTTCTTTCAAAACTTAGCTTAAGCGTGAATAAGGGTTCTTGGTAAAAAGCCTGGAAAGGGCGATTGAGTTCAGGACTGTACGGCCTCTCGACGGCTTGGCTGGGCCGTTTTAGGAGAATTTCAAGTGTCTCAAGTCAGCGGAATGTTCCAAAAGGTACTATTACTTATGTTGTGCGTTCCTAGCTAGTTTATCCCTTAATTCTGGCAAATAGGCAAGCCTGTTCTCCTTTATTAAAGAGTAGAACCCGTCATCTGCAGCTCCCTTGTGCCTAGAGTTTCCATCCCATCTGCCACCTGCAAGCCGCCGGCTGGCGGGCTTCGGCCCAAGCCCTTAGCACGATGAGCGGTTACGGCGCTACGCCAGCAACTGTGACAACCGGAGTTCCTTACATCTGCGGGCAATGCGGCTCTGAGATTAGCCTTAAGCCGGGAGACATCATACAATGTCGAGAGTGCGGTTATCGCATTCTATACAAGAAGCGGACGAACAAGGTGGTGCAGTTTGAAGCGCGATAACGATTGTGGGGCGCCATCGAGGAGCTGGGTCCACCGGCGGAGCTGGGACCGACGACAGCGACGCGGCGGCGGCGTGGCGCCCCGGGTTGAAGCAATATTTGGTCCTGTTCGGCAATACTGGGCTGCTAAATAGGGAACACTAGATGATTGGCTATTATGTGTCTGCTTTGTTGCCTCGATATTCGGAGGGGTGTCGCGGTTACGCTGTACTTGTGTAGTACAGGGACAAGGTGGCACGGGTAGAGATGCAGGCGGGGGGGGGCCGTCCTTGGTTGCAAGGTAGACCGTAATCAACCGCTAGTGCGGTGTCGTTACCGCACGTAAAACAACACCGGACACTGCAGCCGGACGGGCAACGGCTACACTCAAGCCTTCTCGATAGTGACGAAATGCAACAAACCACATCGTGCCTCAGTTCCTTTGCCGGCGACTCGGTGTGAACCGCATTCCCCAAGGCACGTCCATGCATCGTCAACGCAACAACCGTCACGAAAGCAAGCCAGCCACACTACAGTTTTCCATATTAAGTTTCAGGCTTGCTGTGATGAGCGCACTGTCTGAAGAGGTGACCCCACCCGTCTCGCAGAACGGAAAGCCTACCGCAGTTTGGGAACGCTGCAGCGCTCCTCACGAGGCTGAACTCCGAGGGCACACGCTCATATGTGCGGAATACGCTTAAGAAGTACCAACCCAAATCGTTGCGCTATGTCTTTCTGTCTCCACTCCTGTACAGACAGAAAAAATACATCACATACAGCAAGGCAACGCACGCACACGCTCGTTGCGTTCACGGGACAGCCATGTACGCATCGCATGTCATTGTTGTTTCCCAGGGCGCACATATGTGGTGGTTACTAGGGCACGTGGCCATTACCTGCGGGCCAGTGACGGAGACGGCGCGAGTACCAGCGGGTTAACGGCATTTCCCCTGCGCACCGGTCAACTCAACGCCGCATCGCACAGCCCCCCGCGAAACATTATGCATGCGGTGCTCTAGCATAGCAACCACCGAAAACATCGCGTGGGGGCCTTTTGACCCAGCCTCTGAACGTAAACCCGGCTCCCCCTCGACGCGAGACGGGCGCGTCATTAAACCCCCTGTGTCGTTGCGAGCTTTGTAATCTCACTCGTAGCTGTACCCGGCCAAGGTGCGCAAGAGTCAGACCAAGCATACCAACTGAACTCCACAGCGAGCACTCCCGGCGTCCGTCCGTTAAACCCCGTTTTGCAGAGCGGCCTCCCCCCCCCCACTGCATACAGCCACGTCACATGGCTCGCAAACGAGAAGGGACCACCGCTACCGGCACCAGGTCATCAGCGCCCAAACCTTTCCTCATACCACCAACAGCCAACGAAACACCGTGCGGTATGCGCCCACAACGCCTGTCAGTGTCAACAGAATTACTCCTCGATGCGTCTTGCCCTAATCCATTGGGCGGGCAAGCCGTCGCACACCACTAATGCAGAGGTAGCAGCGGGTTGCTTCAGTCGTGAGTTATACAGCGAACACTTGCACACACGCCGCAGCAGCTTGAAGGCCACACCACACCATAACTTTCAATCAAGAGTCTGATCACCCAACCTCGCCGCAATCACGCTTCCTTCCGTCTATCCAGAATTCGTTCCATACATTCACAAGGGAGCCGCTGACAGGACAAGGGACAAAGCACGCATACGCCGACACAAAAGAGAAAACACACAAGACACCTTTGCACGCACAACTGTAAGAGATGTCACCGCAGCCAATCATCATGCACACACATGCACACGCCGCTCTATCGCGCCGCCCCGACGCTACGTAACCGCCGGTAAGGGCTGGCTGTGCGGCTGCAGCCCTCATGCGCATCCGCACCAGCCACTAGTGCTCGCCAGCCTGCCGCAAAACGAGCCGGGGGTTTTCATGCCTACCACACACCCTCCCCCAGGCAATGATGGCTTGCGTACGTTCAACCCGGGGGGAATCCTCAAGGGCTGCGCGTCGCTGTCGAATGGGTTGCGCCGTGCATGCAATTTGCAGGCCCCGCGTCGCCGCACGCATTGGTAGAGCCCCGGATGGCCCCGGGTGGGGATGGGGCATATGGGAAGGGAAGGAGAGCACCGCACAACACGTGAGATTGCTTTTGGGCCAGACGGCATAGTCTCGTTATCAGGTAAACCACGCAAAATACAACATCAGGGGCCACATCATTTGCTGCTGCGGGCGCTGTTCGCGTTGGCGTACACAGCCGCCTCCTCGCGCCACATGGCGTAATTGTCCTTGACCGCATCCAGCATAGGAGTGGCATCCTGGAACGCCTGGGCGAAGCTCTGGAACAGTGGCAGTGCCACGATATCGAAGAAGCCGACCTATCACAAAAAGCAGACATAACAGCACAGGAGTAGCAGCAGCGGTTGCTTATTAGGGGTCCCATATTCGGCAGAAAAAAGCAAGAGGAATTACAACATGACCCATCTTGCAGAATTATCACCGTGCCACACACCACGTAGATTCAAGACCAAAGCGCCGCCACCTGGACGGTGCCGCGCTCTGGCCTTTCAAGGCGCGCTTGGATAGGGCAGCCGCCTTGCCGGCTTCTTCCTAAGTGGACATGCCCACCTAGCAAAACCCTGGGTCCTTTTATCCCGTACGCTGACCCTCTCAAACCACCAAAAACGGCCCTCCCTTGCCGTACCCTATATTTCGAGTACCTTCACCCCGCGCACCCGTACCTGCGACTTCGTAATGCCGTTCTTTTCCCTGTCCATGAGGGGTGACACTGTCAAGCCGTTTTGCTTTTCCCGGTCGCCCTGCCGGAAGAACTCCTCCTCCAAGTACTGCACCCACTTCTTGTGCACGACACGGGGACTGGCCAGATGCCCCAGATCAGCGCATTTGAGCGCCACCTGCACATCAGCGTGCGAGCGCGCGTGTGTGTGTGTGCAACGCGAGTCGCACGGTAGGGTGGGTTGCGGCAGGGCCCAGACTGCAAATTCCTGGCCTACGTACTCTGCGCGCGTCTTCTTTATTCGTCTCAACCATACATACGCGCATACGTCATGGACGACGCAATTCCTTTCCTTCGTACCCTTAACGCCCGGGCGTGCCACTCACGCTCACGAGCCGGCCTGCCCGCTGGTCAGCCGCAGGGCTCCAACCCCTCACGGCGATGGGTGTATATGCATGTCCGCCCCAGCTTTGATAAAACCCGATATTCTAGCCAGCCTTATTGCCTACTATATGGATGGCTCACTATAATCCAACGGTCCTTGCACTCGAAGTCCCCATGGCTCCCGTTTGTTACACTCAGGTTGGAAGTAACCCGAAAACCCCCAACAGCCTACGCGCATTCCCCCCACAGACCCGCAAAAACTCTACTCCCACAGCCACAACATGAATACGGCCCTGGCCCAGTCCCGCGCACACTCTGCTATACTGCCGCCCTGGAACCCCCCTCTGGACCGCCCTACCTGGGCCTACAAGCCTTCCCACGCTACCCAGCTCTGTCCCACAATCAACCCCTGCGCCCTTGTCAACCCCCCAAGCAGCACGCACCCCAGACGCACCTGTAGCACGAGGCTTCGCTGGTCCTCATCGATTACTTTGTGCCCGTCCTGACTTGTAGGGTGCGGCGACGTGCGCATCGACTTTCCGCCCGACCCGTTTCCACCGCTCGGCACCGACCCATTCAGCTGCATCTTCGCCTGGAACATGCTGTGGATGGCGAAGTGCTGCTTCATGTCCGTGGCTAGCACCATCTCGATAATCTGCTTGCGAAGGGTCTCCTGTCGTACGATAAACCATAGGCAAAATGAGGAAAACACGTCGGGGAAAATGACGCGAGGCATGTGCAGCACGACGCTGGAGTGCATTCTTGACTGCAAGCTTGGATGCACAAAGCAGGGATTGGAGGTAACGCGAATAACGCCCTATGCCAGAGGAGTAAAAGCGATTGCGTGGAGGCGGGAGAGGAAGGCTGGTTGGTGCACATGCGGTTCATACGGTCACGCGGAGATTCAAAAGGCACGGAGCGGAGATTTTGGACCCCCGTGACTGTTGGCGGTGCTTGTCGGTTGGCGCTGCGCACTGGACCCGTTTCAGGCAAACAGGGAGGAATAGGTTTGTTCACAACGCACGGAGGAGGTTCATGGGAAGGGACACCGTTCATGCAGCGGGCCGACTGTCGGTCCAGGGACCACCACACCCCGCGCTCCCCGACCAATTCGCGTGTAAGCCCCCGGACGACACCACGGCTAGGCCCGAACTCCGTGCAAAGGCTTTCCCAACCTCGTTTCAAGGCGGTGTTCCTTTTCCTAGACTAATCCCACTTCGAGCATATACAATTTGGTTTCAAGGCTTACGAACAAGACATTCCTCTTCCCTTCATTCGCCATTCGTGGCACACGGCGAGTAGTGCGGCGATTTGCCTTCCCCCCTTTGCGGACCCAACCTCCCCCAAGTTTCAAATATTTTACTACGTGTACCGAAGGACCCTACAGGTCGATAAACATCCCGATTTTTCATTGCAAGCTTTGAACCCGAAAAATCACACACATACTCCACACACCCCGTACCAAGGCAACCCAGGTCCAATGAATGCCCTCACCGGATCAATCAAACCCTTCCCTCGCCCTCACCCGTTGTCGCCCCCAAAACCCATCCCATATGCAGAACCACTACATACCCGGAGCTTGTTGGGCATCTTGCGCAAGAAGTTGTACTCGTCCGAGTTCATGAGCTGAAAGGACGCCGCCAGATGGTGATTTTCCATGGGCGATCGGTCATTGTACAGCACCGCGAGACCATCCGAGACGCGAATAAGATAATCGTTGTTAACCCCCTTGTGCTCGAAGTCGTGGATAATCTGTTGCTCAATGGGGCAACGGATCAGGCGTAACCATGTGACACGTAGTTAGTTATCTTCGTGCCGTTGGGGGGGGGCCCAAAAAGGTGGCCGTCCGCACACCCACATGCAAAGTGAGTAATTTTTTGGTGTGCATGTGAGCGCGCAGGCCTCTGCATGCGTTTGTAATTTGCTCTCGCGGGGACCTACATGCCGCTGATGCGCTTCATCCCACGCGCCAGCACGGGAACAAGCGCGTGACCTCAGGTCCGGTCGGGTGCTTTGCGCTCCTGCTGTTCGGCCATCCGGTGCTGCTGAGCTGATGTGCTACGCTCCGTGAAACGTCCGCAGCATTCCCGTGCAGTGACATGACCGTCTCGCTACACCCATCCTCCAGTTGTCCGTAAGCGGCTGCTCAGCCTACGCCATGCGCGAGAGGACCCCCATCAACGCCCCACCCACCCCAATAGGTGCCCACCCGGCTTTCCGTCCCCTACACAACGCCGTCACCCAGCGTCCCAGCCACGATACTACGATGTGCAGCCCTTCCCTCCCACTTCCAGCCCTGTTCAAGCCGGCCGTCTCTTCTCCTCTAACCCTCCCTATCCCCAGCTCCCCGAGTCAGGACGCCGGTGTCCTCTTGTGGCCCCCCTCACCGCCGAGAGGTAGCAAGACGTGAGCGACACCTCGTCGCAGTACCCATGGCCGATGAGGCCGCCCCGCACGACCAACACATGTAAGCTCTGTAACACGTCCGCTGCATGGATGCGGTTGTGGTACGGGTTGTTCGGGTACCCGTCCTCAATCCGCATCAGGAACTTGACGAGCCGATGATCGTCCATTTCGAACTTGTCCGCCACTTCACAGCGCTTCAACAGCGCATACGACAGCAGCGACAACGGCCGCCCGCCGCTGACCTCGTTCAATTTGAACGCATCGAACTGCCAGTCGTCCACTTTCGCAAGCACGTCCAGGACCTGGCATGCAAAAGTTGAGGTTGGACCCGCAGCACGCACGCGTCAGGGCTTTTCCCCCATGAACCTCTGCGTCCGACTCGGAGGCGAAACCGACACTACTTCGTACACGTACGCTGCAGCACAGACGATCCCTTCGGCGGAACCGGAATGCGCGATACATTCACATGATGGCCTACGTCGAGTGCTTGTCTCCGGATAACCCGCCTATTGCCCGATGCCAATGTGAGGTAATCCTAAGTTGGGTATCCAGGCACACACCCTACCCAACCCTACTAAAGAAGAAATATGCATCATCCCATAACAGCCAAGATAGTATTTAACACCCGGGATGTGTAAGTCTGCATGGGATAAATCCACCCGGTGCGGCAATAGCCCATCGCGCAACATGGTGGGGCCATGGGACGTGCCTTCAGCGACCCCCTCCACGCAGCTCTCCAACCCCCTTCCTGCACGCACGCACCTCGTCAGGCAGGTTCTTGTGCATGGCGATCAACGCCTTCACGCTGTCCTGCGTGACGTTGCTACGAGCGTAGATGTGCCGCAAGTCCTGGTCCGGGTGTACCGGACCTGACCCGTGCTCCTCCCCTTCCTCCTCCACCTCCTTGATCTGCAGAAGCCATGCAAACCGTGAGCAGGTGGGAGTGGACACAGCTCCCTTGCCCCCGAGGCCCCCTGTTTGCCCCGCGGCACCTCCGCACCTTGGCTGGCCGCCTGGAGCTGAGCAACTGAATGAGGCTCTGACTGACTTCGCTGTCTAGCACCGTCTGGCTGTTCTTCATCAACTGCTCGTTGAAGTTCACTGGCTGCCGTAGGTCGCCCGCCTGAATGATGGCATCGCGCAGCTCGATCGCTTCCCGGGCGGAAACTTCGTGCCCACGCATGATTTTATCTAGCAACTTTAGTGTCTTGTCCGCTGGGGTATCGATGTCGATGGCTGGCTTGTGTACGGGGTCCCGCTGCGCCAGGGCCTCCTCTAGCTGTGCCTCAAGCCTGATGATTTTGAGCACGTAAGCACCCGAATTTAGGATATCAGCGAAGACAGAAGATTCCCAGTTAATACAAGAGAACCAGGCAGGTTCATGTACCGACCAATCACATTGCAGCGGCACGCGACAAAAGCTGGGCTAGGGATACCAACAGAAATCTCTCACCGTTGGTTCTGCTTCTTAATCTGCTCCTCCAACGCCTTCACTTGCGAGATGTTTTGCTCGCATACGAGCACTGCTTTCTGCTGGCTGACGGGATCGATGGACGGCCACATCTCATACAAAACCCAGCGGTATTTCCCCGGATGCCGCTTACTCCATCTGAGCTGTGGGAATCGGTGGCAAGGCTGCTCGAGCACAAAAATAGCTTCCATTGCATCCTTGTACATTTCGTCCGGTCCCAAGCTCCCATCACATTCCCCAATAGCCAGGTAGTTCTGAAGGTTGTAGTTCTCGCATGAACCAAGATGCTCTGCAGCGGGAAAAACGCCATGAGTGGCGAAAATACGAGTTCGTGTAACCGAGCCGCACCCCACCAATGCAAGCTTGCGAGAATCCCACATCCCGAAAGGGTTATGTCATACTTACCATTTCTGCTCGAATATGAATTAACTTAAACGGCGAATGCAAGGACGTAGGCCGAAGGGATTCACATACCTCGCATGTTGCAGAGCGCCCGTTTGTTGGCTGCCAACAGCTTCCCGCTCTCATCAAACAGAAACTGGAACATGGGGTGGTTATTGCACATCTCCACCAGCCGCAGCTGGTTATCCTCTACCGTGGGGGCAATCTGCGCCGTGACCTGCGCCGCCGTGGCCGGTCATGCACGCGTATCAGGCAACCTGAGACAGCATCACAGAGTTCCAGATGACCACACCTGTATCAACGTCAGGTCCCGCTCCCGCTCAGCTGCACCCTTGAGGCGGATGGGCTTGTATGATGCTTTCAACACAAGCTTTGGCTTGTCCAGCTTCATAAAGCCCGGGACAGGCTCCCCACTGGTCACCGTCACATTGATCTCCTTCTTGTCGACCTGAGAAACACGTGGCCCCATGTCATGAGGGCGCGCACAGTATCGCCGAGGCGTCGAGACCAGCAGACCCACCTCCACATCCTGGTGCACCTGTGCATTTAGCTTCTTCCATAATCGTAGCTGTTCTGGCGTAAACTGGCCGAGCACGTCCAGTTGCGGCAACTTGAAGGCCGCCTCGTCTACACCAAACAACTCCAAGGACGCCCTGCAAGGACGCCATAAGCCCACTTAGCCTTGGTGGTTTCCCACTAGACCAAAGAGCCACTAAAGAGGACTATCTTACTTATTGCCCCACACGTTGACACTAAATGTGCTGTCATATATCCAGATGGGCGCTGCGCAAATCTCAAAGACTTGCGCGTGAATGCCCAGGTCCAGGACCTGTGCCAATGGAAAGACCGAATGTTTGTTGAATTCCCCGTCACTGGAAAGGTGGAGCGTCCTGTCCAAAGCTGCGGCGGTTACCTCGCCGCTGCTCTGGGGTTCGTTCCCCATCTCGTTGCCGATGACGCACGGGACTGCTAAACGGGGCAAGACCCGGCCCAAGAGGCTTTCTGGCTGCCGCAAATATTGCTGGCGCTCAGGGCGCCATGCTGCTGCCTGCGGCTGAAGCCCCAAGAAAGCCCCTCGCCCGTCCTGCCGCTGCAGAGGTCCGGCCTGCTGGACAAGCTCGCAGCAGCAAAATCGAGCGCTACGTAGTAGCAAAGCTCCACAACAGCTAAGATGGCCAAAGGTCCAGGCAGAAAAGGCTGGTCCGGTTCAGCGAGCCTGGATGATACCGCTCCTCCGCAGCCCGTAAACAGCTGTCTACTGCGCTGCTGAAGTATCCTCAGCTCAAGTCCAACAGGATTAACTGGCCCGCAGCTCCGCGCAGCGCGAGCCACTGCTCCTCCTCCTTGCGCTGAGAGGGGGAAGGCTCTTGCGGGCCCACCAGACCACTAACCAACCATGGTACATTAAGTCTAAAAGCGATACAAAGTCCTCATCTCAATTGGTCTTCACGGCAGCGTAGCCGTGTTATTCTTGGTAGTTGGTATGCCACAATATCAAACCCCAAAAGGATAGGAGAGCGAATCTTAAAGATACAAGCAAACCAAGTGCATACGGTAGCTTGCAAAGCTTCTTTGGGAAACACGAGGGATGGGCCTCCCTGGACCCCTGGACCCCTTGAGGAGGCAATCGAGCCGGCCTTGCACAACTATTATGTGATAGTATTACACAGCTCCAGTATCGTTCTGCCAACCACGTCAGTATCCGTCAGGGAAAGCTCCTAGGTGCAGAGACATGTGCATGTCATCCCCATAAGGGGATACTTCAGACTATAGTTTTTCCGCATCCGTGTGCAGCACACATTCAAGTGCCTATTGCACTGTCCACTTACAGCCTCTCCAGCCGTCAAGGGCTACCAATGCAAAAGGGATCCCAGAAATTGTTCAGTTGCGCCTGGACCGTTGTTCGCCAGCCATAAGATTTTATCGTTAGCCCGCAGTAACGCTTAATCACTCACCACTGGCTGAGGCTACCAAAAACGCCATTGCGATTTTGAGTTGGCAGTGCCGTACGTTTCTCGGACTAGAACCCCATGCGGCATGACTCATAAATCCCATCCCCGTGGGACACCCGTGGCTCATGAACCAGTGCGACCCAGATCGGCCAGGGGAAGGGAGTGCGCCAGGAATGCTTGTTGCCAGAAACTTAAAATTCATTTACTCGGACACGTTCGGATATGAAACAGAGCCGAAAGGTTCCGCTTCCATTACCCTACCCTGACATAACGCACGTGTGCTGTACAAGCAGTGAGCGATTCGCTCGTCCGTTTGGGGGTTTGGCAGCCAAAAGCGGTAACCAGCGCATTCCCTATGGACGGGACGCCTGATTACACGAGCAACTCACTGTCAGCACACCATCTGATTTACCAACAACCCCGCTGCCAGGCGAAAACGACATGGCTTGTTTTGACACGGTATCAACCCGCAGCCGCCTTGAGAATGCACGTGTTTACGTTGCATTTGATTACTTTCGAAAAGTTGGCTTTCCTGGATAGCAGCAAGCTGGGATGGCGACAAAGGAAATAACGAAGATGCAGGATCAGCGCCACCGCACGACCCAGGAGCCCGCGAGGCCCGCTGTCTTTCTCTCTCTCTCTCTCATGCAGCTCAAATACCCGGCATTCCCTAGTAAGCTGCCGCACAGCAGCTGCCACCGCCAGAGACAGCTCACAGTTATGCAGCTGGCGCGATGAACACAGGACGTCAGGTTAGGGGCGTCGAAGCCCGGCTTCGGCCGAAGCCGAAGCCGAAGCCGAAGCCGAAGCCGAAGCCGAAGCCGAAGCCGAAGCCGAAGCCGAAGCCCACAGATCGTCCACGAGCTACGAGACGCCTGCCAGCGCGCCAGGACAGGGAAAAGCGTAAACGTTCTGTAATTCTAACCGCTTACAGTTGTTTGAGCACCGGCACCACAGGCCTCAGGTCACCACGGCACCACCATGGCCCACAGCACCACGGCATGGAGGAGCGCCACGGACTGCCAAACTGTAGTGCCCGAACCTTATCAGCGCCTGTCAAGGAATCAATCCTTTCCCCTTCACCACAACGATCTTACCGTAAGCCCCGCCCGGTGCTCTCCGTACTCCTTCCCGGACAGAAACCACAGGCCCCCCCTGATGTTTTACAAGCCTAACAACAGCTCCTTGCACTGCAACGGAGCCGGCTGCAACGCAGTTGCAAGCCATTGAACTGCACTTACTAACGGCATTCCGCACACATGCCACGGCATGCAAGCTGCAACGCTCAATCTTGCCCGATTGCTTACACCCTGACCATGTATGTAGAGACTATTAAAAAACACTCTTTCGATAAAGATAAATCACCATTGCCCTCCTCCTCCTCCTCCTCCGGAGCAGCCAACAGCAGCCAATTGCCACAGCCGCTCGAGCTATCCAAGCCCAATCACCGGCGATCCCAGATTGTACACTCATGCTGTACCGAGCTCTCCAC